ATATGAAACTAATATACACTTTTTGTTTTTCTTTCAGAGTACCTGACCCATAGGTGGAGGCCGCGGAACCCAAGGCAAAGGCACAGATGCCGGAAACAGCAAGAGATAAGTATTTTTTCTGACTTGCAGTGCCCCCCTCCATTGGTGTGGTCCATATGAAACTAATATACACTTTTTGTTTTTCTTTCAGAGTACCTGACCCTGATGGTGGAGGCCGCGGAACCCAAGGCAAAGGCACAGATGCCGGAAACAGCAAGAGATAAGTATTTTTTCTGACTTGCAGTGCCCCCCTCCATCGGTGTGGTCCATATGAAACTAATATACACTTTTTGTTTTTCTTTCAGAGTACCTGACCCGGAGGTGGAGGCCGCGGAACCCAAGGCAAAGGCACAGATGCCGGAAACAGCAAGAGATAAGTATTTTTTCTGACTTGCAGTGCCCCCCTCCATCGGTGTGGTCCATATGAAACTAATATACACTTTTTGTTTTTCTTTCCGAGTACCTGACCCGGAGGTGGAGGCCGCGGAACCCAAGGCAAAGGCACAGATGCCGGAAACAGCAAGAGATAAGTATTTTTTCTGACTTGCAGTGCCCCCCTCCATCGGTGTGGTCCATATGAAACTAATATACACTTTTTGTTTTTCTTTCAGAGTACCTGACCCTGATGGTGGAGGCCGCGGAACCCAAGGCAAAGGCACAGATGCCGGAAACAGCAAGAGATAAGTATTTTTTCTGACTTGCAGTGCCCCCCTCCATCGGTGTGGTCCATATGAAACTAATATACACTTTTTGTTTTTCTTTCAGAGTACCTGACCCGGATGGTGGAAGCCGTGGAACCCAAGGCAAAGGCACAGATGCCGGAAACAGCAAGAGATAAGTATTTTTTCTGACTTGCAGTGCCCCCCTCCATCGGTGTGGTCCATATGAAACTAATATACACTTTTTGTTTTTCTTTCAGAGTACCTGACCCTGATGGTGGAGGCCGCAGAACCCAAGGCAAAGGCACAGATGCCGGAAACAGCAAGAGATAAGTATTTTTTCTGACTTGCAGTGCCCCCCTCCATCGGTGTGGTCCATATGAAACTAATATACACTTTTTGTTTTTTCTTTCAGAGTACCTGACCCGGACGGAGGTGGAGGCCGCGGAACCTAAGGCAAAGGCACAGATGCCGGAAACAGCAAGAGATAAGTATTTTTTCTGACTTGCAGTGCCCCCCTCCATCGGTGTGGTCCATACGAAACTAATATACACTTTTTGTTTTTTCTTTCAGAGTACCTGACCCGGACGGAGGTGGAGGCCGCGGAACCCAAGGCAAAGGCACAGATGCCGGAAACAGCAAGAGATAAGTATTTTTTCTGACTTGCAGTGCCCCCCTCCATCGGTGTGGTCCATACGAAACTAATATACACTTTTTGTTTTTTCTTTCAGAGTACCTGACCCGGACGGAGGTGGAGGCCGGGGAACCCAAGGCAAAGGCACAGATGCCGGAAACAGCAAGAGATAAGTATTTTTTCTGACTTGCAGTGCCCCCCTCCATCGGTGTGGTCCATATGAAACTAATATACACTTTTTGTTTTTTCTTTCAGAGTACCTGACCCGGACGGAGGTGGAGGCCGCGGAACCCAAGGCAAAGGCACAGATGCAGGAAACAGCAAGAGATAAGTATTTTTTCTGACTTGCAGTGGCCCCCTCCATGGGTGTGGTCGATATGAAACTAATATACACTTTTTGTTTTTCTTTCAGAGTACCTGACCCGGAGGTGGAGGCCGCGGACCCCAAGGCAAAGGCACAGATGCAGGAAACAGCAAGAGATAAGTATTTTTTCTGACTTGCAGTGCCCCCACCATCTGTGTTGTCGATATGAAACTAATATACACTTTTTGTTTTTCTTTCAGAGTACCTGACCCGGATGTGGACGCCACAGACCAAGCCAAGGTACAGATGCAAGAACACATAGAAATAAGTATGTTTTTACTTGAAGTGCCCCTATCATCTGTGTTTTCAATATGAAACTAATATACACTTCTTGTTTCTCTTGCAGAGTACCCCCGAGGATGTCTACGTCACAGACCAAGCCAGGCACAGATGCAAGAGCATAGAAAGATAAGTATATTTTTACTTGAAGTGATTCTTTTAGAAACTGATATTTCAAAGGGAGAAGTGGTGAGACTTAAAAGAGAAATGCTTGTTTACTCATGGCACTTTAATGTTTGATTTTTAAAATAATTATTTTTTTTGAAGGGCCATATGGCCCGAGAACAGAGTTATTTCGTAGTGCATTTCTTTTAGACAATAAATGAATATTGAAAAAATCCCACCTGCGCTTTCTCAATAATATCTTTACATGGTGTTGTACTACTTTTGGGACAAATTATATCAAAATTATAGAAAACTTCATCAGCTCTAACTCAAAATATGGACAATTTTATGTTAAGGGGGTTTTGAATTCTTTTGAAAGCTTCCGAAATACTAATTTTTAACCTTTTTTAGCTGGACCAAATCACTACTTTACTTAAAAATTCATGACCCAAATTTTTTTACAGTGTAATTTCATCCCCCTACTTGCTATTTGAGGCATAAAACATGAAGAAATAAATTTGGAAAGGGTATAAAACAAAATTGTAAGTAGCACATTGTCCACACTAGGGACTATATTCGTGGACAATGAAAATCAAAGGACGATAACTGTGTTCCCGGACCATATGTTACATCCTACATTTGTAATTGTACAATTGTAGCACTGTCATGACTATTAAAGAACCACCATATCTGATTCTGACAATTTGAAGAGAGAGACCAACAATTAAGGATCATAATCAGCACTAAATAGTAGCTGCATTATATATAATCACTATCAAAAAAACTTTACTTGTCAGCAAAATGTAGAATATAATGAAAATAAGAAGAATTTGACATTACCTGACTTCACATTTGTTTTCCACCGCTTCCTATATCCGGTGGTGATGATACACAGTGGTCATATAATGCACTACATTTCCTCTTAATGTTTTAATAGCCAAATACTATGAGTGCTTGGATTTCCTTTATTTTGTTGAAAAGACCTCTTTATCTCTTTGGCCTTTTCTAATGGGAGATAACTCAAAATATTTTTTTTACTCTTGTGGAAATCTTAATTATTTCATAATTTCCATAATTTTCCAGTATTATTAAACACCAGAACAAATGTGTGCATTCCTTCATTTAGACATTTGTTCCATTCTTATTGACATGAGCCTTGTACAAAGTGTTTAAAAATAGTGAAGGTAAAAATAATAGTTATGAATAAACTTTTATTTATTGACACTGATATTTGATATCCCATCCAGTATTCCAGTTTCACTATTTGAAATCATTTTAAAATATTTTCCTAATTTTATTAACTTTTTAGAATATTTTCTAACATTTTTCACTGTATCGCTTGATTTTTTTCTATATCCACAGTATAATTCTGTTTACTTTCCCATGATATACATCCCAATTAAACATGTGCTGAGTCTTTATATTAGATCCAGAAATTTGTGATTTTTGATAATTTCCAATATCACATTCAAAATAGTTATCCTCACTTTACACATTTTTTGGAATATTTTTTTTTTTATTTTGCATTCGATTTTACTAGATCCACAGTATTCAGTTTTTATTGCATTTTCCATGAAATATGTCCCAATTAAACAATATAAGATCCAGAATCTTATAATGATTATTTCCAATATCACATTCAAAATTGTTATTCTCACATTATGAATTTTTTAGAATATTTTACTTTCATTTTTCACTTTATCACTAGATTCGACTATATCCACTGTATTCACATTTTACTTCATTTTCTAATATATATCACATTTAAACAGGTGATTCATCTTCATATTAGGTCTAGAATTTTTTAATGATTTTATAATTTTCAAAATCACATTTAAATTTTAAGCCACAGAAACATGGATAAACTTATTTCTTCTACTTGCATTCCAGTTTTGAATTTTTTTACCTTTTAGATTAACTAAATTCCATCTTTTTCATGTATAAGCCACACAAAACATTTTGAATGAATTATTTCCTCCTTGATACATTCATGACAATCCATTCTAAAAAAAACAAGTCACATTTTAAGAAGCAAAATTATATGGCATCTTAAGAAGTGAATTCAAATAAAATAAATCCCAATATATTATGCACATTATTGATTCCAAAAGATTTCAAACACTTTGAATAATATTCCAAATGAAAAATTTGAACGGATATTTGAAGAAATGCATAACATATCCATCTGAAAACTGAAACTGAAAACACCTGAATAGCTACTTCTTGTTTCACTGACAACTGGACAATACCATGTATAAGGGTTAAAAATTTAAAGATTCATATATTATGTAAAAACAGTTTTCATTTTCATACATGTTAACATGCAGTTAAGAAAATCTCTTACTGATTTAGATTTTTGGGTCAAAATTAAATTAATCATTTATATTGGGGATTTAAAACAATGAAAACCAATAATATGTTCTTCCCTATCAATTTTATAATAGAATAACCCTAGGTGAAGAAAAACTTCAGGAAAAAAGCATGCTGCAAGGTTGAGTTAGGTGAATAAGAAAAAAACAGTACAGGTAGCATCAAGGTAGACTCAACTCTAACAATAACAACTGGTCAATTTAAATGTCCCAATTGTATTGTCAATTGAACAATAGGTAAAGGTAAATAGTCAAGTCGCAGTAAACTATTTTAAGTTAGATAACTGTACACATATATGAATAATTCAAATAACCTGGAATATGAGGTCCAACCAAATTTTAAAATTTTAAAGCTGTTGATAGAATTTTTCAAAAATTATGTCTTAAAAGGTTTCACTTGAAAAATAAAAAAGGGGAGATAATAAAATTAGGCCAATTAAAATAAATTGATAGATATTCATCCCCGCCCGCCCCGATTTTTTTTATTTTTTAAAGATTTACGATTTCCGTATTTTGTTCATTTCCGTTACCGGTAACCGCCGATAATTTCGTTTCATTGAAAACTTCCTGTTTCAAATTTCAGTTTTCATATTTCTCCTCGAGTAATATATCCAAAATTATTAATTCGAAATATTCTGCTGCTCAATGATGACAACATTATCTTATGAGAATATAGATTGATTACTAGAAGGGCATGAAATATTCGGGTTACGAGAAATAGGCTGTGTCCCAAGAACACTAATCATGGTATGTCTCAAATTTCAGTATTAGAAAACCGTAGATTTTTTTATTTATACAATGACTTTGTGTCAGGGAATTTGGACTGTGAATAATATCCAAAGCGCAAGAATCGTGGAACACATTGGTACGAAAACATGACTGGAATAAATTAATTGACACAAGCACGAACTTGTGCGGTTTATGACCGTATATTTTAAGCGGTAGGTCTTTTCACCACCGAACACCCCAAAAATCGAACAGAAAAGGAGAGTCTATAACACTACCACTCTGCAAACCACCACTGGACACCTCAAATAATTTTTTTTCTTCATTTTTTTTCTTCTTTTATAAAATAGTTGTATTAATAACAAGAAAAGAGACATGAACAAATGTTAAATATTTCAGGTAACTAATATCCTTCATCAGTAATTGATGTCAAATGATTCTTATACACAAACAATGTAATCCGGACAAATAGTGATGAATCCGGAGACGTTTTTCTCTTCTTTATATGGATTATATTGATAATCGACCTTAACAGAAAAATGATGGTACCTCGAAAGACCGAATAACACTGTTATTATCCAAATAACACTTGTAATGACCGAATAACACTTGAAATTTTAATATTAGCACAATTTGGTGACTTTTAAACATTGATTTATAAATAATAGTATATTATGTGTGTATTTTATAACTTAAAAATGATTTACAGAAAGCAGGTAAGTTCATAAAGATTATTTTAAATATAGTGTGTACATCCAACATGGCGACCAAGGAAATCACAATGGTCGCCATGTTGGATGTACACACTAAATTTAAAACGATCTTTATGAACTTACCTGCTTTCTGTTAATCATTTTTAAGTTATAAAATACACACATAATATAATATTATTTAATAATCAATGTTTAAAAGTCACCAATATGTGCTAATATTAAAATTTCAAGTGTTATTCGGTCATTACAAGTGTTATTTGGATAATAACGGTGTTATTCGGTCATTCGTGTTACCCGAAAAATGATGCACATAAACATCTAAAAAATTAAACGTAATTTAATTGATTTTACTGTTTTCTTGTATAAAATCACTGATCACTTGGCGTCTGTTGTCATCTGTCGTCGTAAACTATTTCAAAAATCTTCTCCTCTGAAACTACTGGGCCAAATACCTTCAAACTTTAACTAAATGTTCCTTAGGGTATCTAGTTTATAAATTGTATCCGAAATTTTGATCCATCGACAAACATGGCCACCATGGCTAAAAATAGAACATAGGGGTCAAATGCAGTTTTTGGCTTATATCTCAAAAACTAAAGCTTTTAGAGCAAATCTGACATGGGGGTAAAATTGTTCAATTGGTCAACATCTATCAGCTCTGAAATTTTCAGACGAAACGAACAACCCATTGTTGGGTTGCTGCCACCGAATTGGTAGTTTTAACAAAATTCTGCAGTTTTTTGTTATTATTTTGAATATTATTATAGATATATATAAACTGTAAGCAGCAATAATGTTCAGCAAAGTAAGATCTACAAAAAAGTTAATATGACCATAATTGTCAATTGACCCCTTAAGGAGTTATTGCCCTTTAAAGACAATTTTACACAATTTGTTCATCAAGTTTGCTAACATTTAAAAATCTTCTCCTCTGGAACTACTGGGCCAATTACTTTCAAACTTTAACTTAATGTTCCTTAGGGTATCTTGTTTATAAATTGTATCCGAAGTTTGTATCCATCGACAAACATGGCCGCCATGGCTAAAAATAGATCATAAGGGTCAAATGCAGTTTTTGGCTTATATCTCAAAAACTAAATCTTTTAGAGCAAATGTGACAGGGGTAAAATTGTTTAATTGGTCAAGATCTATCGGCCCTGAAATTTTCTGACGAATCTAATAACCCATTGTTGGGTTGCTGCCACCGAATTGGTAGTTTTAACAAAATTTTGCAGTTTTTTGTTATTATTTTGAATATTATTATAGATATATATAAACTGTAAGCAGCAATAATGTTCAGCAAAGTAAGATCTACAAAAAACTTAATATGACCATAATTGTCAATTGACCCCTCAAGGAGTTATTGCCCTTTAAAGACAATTTTACACAATTTGTTCATCAAGTTTGCTAACATTTAAAAATCTTCTCCTCTGAAATACAGGTGAGCGATTCAGGCTCTTGAGAGCCTCTTGTTTGGTTCAGTTCATGTTTTAAATTGTAATTATATTGGCACCTTGCATAAGAATCTTCAAAGCATCAACCCTCATGACCCTAGTATTTTCAACACAGTTTGAGTTTTCATTTCACTCTGTACTCGTAATATTTGTATTGCATACCAATGCATATGCTTAATTTTATGAGCACTACAAATCATAGCTTAAAAGAAAAATGAATTTCATACAGGAAATTATTTATAGCTCAATATGCATGATTTGTCTAAGGTACATGTAGTACAACAGGGTTCACTATTATTTAGGTCACTAAGACCTACATTTTCTGCCTGAGCGATATGGTTAGTTTTTATCTGCAGTTTCATATATAGATAGACACCCTGTGTCTCAAAGACATATTTTTTAGTTCAAAAATAGTTCATATATCAAACATGATTGTTAATAGATATCTTGCTATATGTTACATTATGTTGGTTTTTTTTTTTTTGCCTCCGCATTAAGGCGTCGGGATTTAGTTGTACCAATTTGCCTACTTTTGTTCATACAGCCAGAAATTTTCCTTCACATATTTCTCAGCTTCTAAATATGGGAATGATTTGTAATTTCATAATGATGAGAGGCAAGTTGTAAGTTGTTTTCAAATGAAACCAAATACCTACTTCCTGTTTTAGGGTTGACAATCGTTTCAGATCTACAGAAAGTGATGATTCCTTTCCGTAGAAACAGAACCTATATTTTGTACATATTTTTAGTAATTGTTGGATTTAATTATGAGATCTAATCTATGCATCCACAAAAGTTGGACGAGTATAATGTAATGATGCTGTAATCAGCATTGTCTGTAGTCACTTCAATTATGTGTGATCATTTTATGTTTCTACAAAATGGCAATTATGACGGTGATTAACAAACATTTGTTTAATTACAGGTCGCAACTCCCACATAACACAGTCTGAGAGATAAGCAGTGGCAATGTTATGTCAGACCAAAAATACCTGTTTCTCCCTAAGCATCAGAGGTGAATGGCATAACTGTTCGAAATGGTAGAATGCATCACAATGGAAAATTGTTGAAACATCTGACATATCTAGTGCTTTAGATGCATTTATTGATTTTCTCTCGAAAATTGGAAGTGGAACATGTCTGTATGGACACAAATTCACACAATATCAAATCTTTTGATTGCCATGTTCTGTTTAATGCTTTAGAAGCAGTTGGAAAAATCGAGAAGATTAATACTTTTTTCCCTCATGCTTAAAGATATTGACTTAATAATGGTATATAGTTTTATCATGACAAGCTACAGACCAAGTTCAAATGTTGTTCCTGTCTGATGATTTTGTGCAGAGTTATGGTCCTTGGACATAGAAAATTCAGTCAAATAATCAGTTTTCCACACTGTTTTTCTTCATGCTTGAAGATATTGACTTGATATTTGTTATATATAGTTTACACCATGACAAGTTATAGATCAAGTTAGCATTTTGTTCCAGTACAATTAATTTTAACCTGTAGGGGACTATGTATTGCCATGCAATACTCTAAGAATGCTTGTTAGTATAAAAATTGGTTGGGCTCCTAAAATTTCAACTGGGCCCCTGAAAAAAATATTTTAGGGGCCCAGCTGGCCCCCGGAGGAAAACTGTTAAGTTTAGTCCCTGAGACTATTGTAAGATGTTAATACATCGCATCAAGAGGAATCGCCATGACATTCATGCCTTTTGATTGACATATTTTCTTTGAAGAAATGCTGGTAAATGAGGCATTGATTACTTATTTTTGCTTTTCAAAGAATGAAATAACAGCTTGGATACAATTTGAAATTGGCAAAGGCAAAGTCTCCTCTTCCAAATCTTTCAATGATACTCCATGTCTTGTAAAAAGATGTGAAAGTATGATAGTGTGGAGAACCATTGATAAATCATCAATAAATACTAGCATTCCAGTACTGGTAACTAAAAATGAAGAACTGGAAGAAGAAGACATTTGTAGCAATGTATTTTCATGTCCTGAAGACGGCTGTGTTGCAACATTTTTAAAATATGGACAACTATGTAATCACCATAACAGGGGCAAACATACTTGCCCTCAGAATAATTTAAATCTGAAGTGAGCACACACAAATTAACTATGCTGCTTTAATGGAAAGCAAAAGTTCTGCGGAAAAAGTTATTCATTCCTGTATAACAAATGCAATACAAGCAAATTCTATATTAAAGAAAGGATGGGCATTGAAGAGTAAGAGAGAGGTTAAGAGATTTTCCAAAGAGCAGATAGAAAATATGACAGAGAAATTTCAGTTTGGTGAATCCAATGGATATAAGTGTGACCCAGATGAGGTGGCAAGAGAGATGAGACATGTAAAAAACAGTAAGGGCATCCAGAAATTTCAACTAGAACACTTTCTTTCTCTTTCTTAAATTGCTAGGTTTTTTTTAGCATATTTTCACTAAAAAAAAAAAAAGCATCAAATACTGTTTTTTGACGATTGTGATCTGATAGCAGAAGAATCTAAAACTGAGATGTGTCAGCTAACTGAATTAGCAAATACTGTATTGTAAACATTTGACATTTTTGGTCTTTTTTCAAAACCTCTCATCTGATTGATGTAGTTAATATTTGAAAAATTTCTTCTCAATAACTTCTTAAAAAATTGATTGATTGATTGTTGTTTTTGCTTAATGTCCAGTAGCAAATATTTCATGCATTTTCAGGAACACTTATTGAATTGAAACCAAGCTGTGCGACTTAAATCATTTTGTGAGAAGCTGTGACATCCACGGATCCAGTACCCCACCTTTTTTCCTATACATGTATTTTGAATATTCAAAATTTATACCCTTTTATATACATTTTGACCAACAATAGACCTATATAGCTATATTTAACTACTTCATGGAGAGTTAAATAACAAATATCTGATGCATTTATCACTGAGGTTAAAATTTCATCTTTAGAAAATATTCAGTTTTAGAAGCTCATGATATGACCTACAACCTTATCAACTATTTGTAATATTTTTCTTGCCCTTTTATATATATTTAATACAAAGCTCATCCCTTCTGCTAAATACATAAAGGGAAACATACAGCCTTCAACAATAGACATGAGTTTACTCAATATGTGAAGCTCTAAACATTTACATAACTTGTGAATGAATTAAACAGAAACAACAATAAGTCCCAATTGATTTGAAACTGATGCTATATATAGTGTCATCTGATGATGCAATTTAAAGGTTTTTATTCAGATTGGCATGTGATCCTAAGCTGGTTTTGGTAAAACTGATACTGTGGATTCATTTATTTTCGTGGGTACCAATTTTCGTGGATTAAGGAAAACTTACATGTTCGTGAATATCTAATTTCGTGGTTTTGCCGAAGTCTGCATACAAGCCTATAGAAAATTTGGTATTCGTTGAACATTTAATTTCGTGGTTCACCTGTACCCACGAAATCCACGAAAATTGGTATCCAACGAATAATAATGAATCCACATCTTTTTGCAGTGAACACCGGGATTATTTTGTCAGATATAAAAAATGGTACAATCTCTTGTGTGTTAAAATACATGATTTTGTGAATATCAAAGAAGTAAAGTAAAATAATTGTAGCATGCTGTGTTGATAATGTATGGACTTTCACAGTTAAACATGTTAAAGAAAGATGTTCAGGTAGATATTGGTTATTAATCATGTTTACAGTTAAAGGGGTATTAGCTACGAGATATAAAAAAAATTAGAATATGATTTTTTTTTTTGTTCAATCATTAATGAAAGTGAAATAGTGAAATAATAATTCGCTTTTAGCAGCTTTAAAAGGAAAAGAATGTCAACATTGAAAGTGAAACAAGGATGAACCATTTCGTTGACTGATTCGATCGACAAAAAATCATTCTTAAACAGGCAAAAACGACAATTAACTTATTTTTTTAGCCTGTAACATGAAATCAAACAGACCAAGAAAAGTCCAATTGCACGAGGTCGCTATCTATTTATAGTTATGTTTATATCGGGTTATGTGACCGTTGTAGGTTATTGGAGGTCATCTTGATGATTAATTACATGGTGTCTAGACTAAAATATACACGAAATGCTGATATATATTGAGTCCATGCATTGTTTATTGTTTATTTCAGACTTATTGTAATTTGGATATACGTTTTAGTATATTATAAATCAAATATGAGAATTTGAGTCAAATCAGTGAACATGAATTTGACAGCTAATGCCCCTTTAATGGAATACAGGATTTAATGTCAACATATTGCTTATCTACATTGTTTTAAAATATTGTACAAAATTTAAGTACAATTCCAATGTATCATTAAAAGATTGAAATTTTTAGCAAAAACTTCACCCTGTTGCTAAGGTAATTTATTTGTTGCTAAGGATTTCGCTGCTTTCAATGCAGATGTTAAATTTTGACATTGCTTGTATATATTTTCTTGAAACATTGCAGCATACCTGAATACATTAAAAAAAATGTGATTGTAAACATTTTACATGTTGCTCATGTTCTATCGTCGTTGCAATGGTCTTAATTGTGTAGCTTTAAATTTTTTCTTTGAATTATACTGAAGCAATTGGGTATTGCTTAAAAAAATTGTGAAGATACATGATACATTTTATCAATTTTGAATAAACCTACAGATTTTCATTTTAAGCACTGAAAATATCATGTTGCTAAGGCACCAATTATGTTGCTATGGAATATTTGTTATTGTTGTTTGGTCTTTTCTTTTGATATAATTGTAAAAATTCACTGTTGCTTGTATGAGTTTTCTAGATACATGATAAAACATATGAAAATGCCAAAAAATTTAAATTATAAGCAACATATGCCTGTTGCAAAGGTAGATTTTAATGTTGCCATGGTGTAAATTTAGTTGCTATGGGTTTTTTACTTAGGAAAATGACTGCAATCATAGTGTGCTTTGACCCTGTTATGTTTTCCATATAAAATGTTTACTAAAATGACAAAAAAAATGTTTGTAGATCTGTCACCAAGGTCCAGAGCATTATTAGATAAGGGGGAGCTAACTCGTATGTACTCGAACCAAGGAACAGGGGGTCAGTCTATCGCTAGACTTAATGTTCTGATAGGCATAGCTTAAACGCAAGAAAGGTTTTCATAATTTAATCAATGATAACAATTTAGATGAATGATGATAATAATCAATTAGTAAACAATGCCAAATAATAATAATCTAATTCAAGTACAAAGTATCAAATCTAAATATCAAATCCAAAGTAAGACTATTTCTCTTATACTGTAAAATATAAAATAAATGCCAAAACTACTAATTCATAAAATGAACTTAATCTCAAAATCAAAATGTCAAAGTCTCAAAAATATAATAATTCTCAAATAGAAATTGCTAAAGGTAATAAATGTGAGTCAGAGAGAAATTTTGTCTCAACACTAAACCGTCAACTGGTAGATTGGTAGACAGTCTTGTAGGTCCAGTATCATGTAGTGAGTGGTTATGGTTCAGAAACACTGACTGCCTTTCCACTACTAAATAGAGTTTAATGGTGACTACCCTTGCGGGTATTGCGCCAGATTACCTTATATAAAAACATTTCAAATAAATGTTTTAAAATTTATTATTATTTAGGAATTAACCTGTATTATATATTCATATTGTAGTAAATTGTGAGTTTTTTTTTTTTTTTTTTTTTTTTTTTTTGACTGCCTTTCCTTAATTTCACAACGATATTTATACTAAATCCCAAAATAAATAAATATGTCTCAACATGTTAAAAGTACTCTCATTAGTAAAAATAGACTTTAATAAACAAAGCCTAATCCTATATTGTTTTGATAAAAACTTAAACTAACCTAGTGACATATGCTAATTACAATTAATATTTCAAAACAAATTACTTTAATCACACTGTGACATCTTGAGTACTTGCCACAGCATAGGTAAAAATTAATTAAACAATTTAATTAAAAAATTTTACAAAATACAAACATAAAATTTCTTTCTAAAGATAAAACACATTATTTATACAAAATCATACTATTAAAAATATAAGCCAAATAACACACCATGACAGATCATAACATTTTATCCAAACATTTACTGATTAATTTCTTAAATTGTAAAAAAATATGCAATTTTTGGTTAAAAAAAATTTCTTGGATTACGAGCTACCAAATTTTATTGCATTAGGTAATAATATAGTTAAGTGTCCTCAAAGAAAATATGATTTAGTAAAGTAAGAATCTTTTGTGTTTTTAAGTAGAGGACTTGAACAATTGTAAAGCATTTTTTCTTAAGTCCAACATTTGCACAAATATGATCAAAAATATGTTTTTTGTTATATTTAAAAAAGACATTACATAAATGATGAATGATAATTTGGAATTTTTTTTTTTTTCATTTTTGGTAGGTTGGTTTTTTATTCATTTTCAGAATGCTGTATACATATTTATTTATTTTTGATGAAGCGAACTCTTTTCAAAACTTACCTAATATTGTCCATGGGAACCCCTGTAAGAATTTAGCTAACATTGTCTGTCAATGAATAAATAAATCAAATTCTTGGTGTATTTAGACATGCTGAATCTAACTGTGTATTTAGATTTTGAATATTGAACCATAATTGGTAAAAATCCGATTTAAAATTTTTCAGTTCTTTCACCACATTCATTCTGTGTCAAATATTTAATCACAATCCAAAGTCAAAGCTGTATCAAGCTGTCATGGATGGATACCCGATATCCTTTGTTTTTCTATTGAATGTAGTGTCCAGACTTGCCCAAACTGTTCAGGGTTTGATCTCTGTGGTCATATCAAGCTGTGCCCCAGCGGAACATTTTATTTTCTATATTCAGTTTTTATGATAACAAAATTAGTGTTAGATGGTTGTCTCATTGGCACATCATCTTATTTTTATATACTGTGCAAAAAAAAAATGGTAATCTGAAATATAGCTATTGGATTATATTTCTACAGTAACCTTATAAACAGCCCTGTAAAGGTGTATGTTTTTTTAATTCAGTTGTTTAATTAATCCTTATGTGAATGTATTGCTAAATGTACTATTTTTGAAAGGATGATAAGAATAATTGTATATGAACTTTATATTTATAAAAATATAAGCATGCAATGGCGATAGATTTCACATTAGTCCATTTTTTTTAGAAATTTTGCATCTTTTTTATACGACCGCAAAAATTAAAAAAATTTTGGTTGTATATTGGTATCACGTCGTCGTCAGCGTCGTCCGAAGACAGATGGTTTCCAGATAATAACTTTAGTATAAGTAAATAGAAATCAATAAAATTTTAACACAAGGTTTATAACCACTAAAGGAAGGTTGGGATTGATTTTGGGGGTTATGGTCCCAACTGTTTAGGAATTAGGGGCCAAAAAAGGGGCCCAAATAAGCATTTTTGAAGTTTCCAGACAATAACTTGTGTTAAAGTGTATAAATCTCTCTGAAATTATACCACAAACTTCCATACAACAAAGGGATGGTTAGAATTGACTTTGGGGGGTTATGGCTCAAACCATTTAGTAATTAGGGGCAAAAAAAGGGGAAAAACAAGGGTTTTTCTGGTTAAAGGACAATTGAGACAATTTAAAAGCAGTGTAAGGGAGGTAATCCAATTCAAATTAAAGAACACTGTTTGATTACCTCCCTTACACTGCTTGTAAATTATGTATTAAGAAATGATGATTGTCTTGAGGTGATTAGCTGTCAATTTATTTTTAGCAGTTACTATTGATTAATATTAATTTTAGCCATGACTATGTATGTCATTTTATATTTTAAAACTTTTATGATGTATTTAAATGGGTAATTTTGGTTGCAAACTGCATTAGAAATTTAAAATTGAGATACTGACCATATCTTTAGGGAAAATAATTTTTTTGGGAATAAGGGAAAGGGGGAAGGTGAAAAAAATTGGAGGGGGGACAATTTTTCTCATTTCAGATTTCAGAAATTAAAAGAAAATTTCTTCAAATATATTTTTGGGGGGTTAATATTTAACAGCATATTGTATTGCACAAAAGCAAAAAACCAGGGTAAAATAAACTTTTTTCGGTAAGGGGGGGTGGGGTCAATTTGCAACAGCATAGTGTATTGCACAAAAGCAATAAATTGAATATAAATTCAAATCATATAACCAATTTGAAGTTCTTTGACTACAGTTATTCTGTGTCAGAAACCTATTATGTGGTCAAAAATTTAGTTACAATCCAAATTCAGACCTGTATCAAGCGTGAATATTGTGTCCATTTTGGCCCAACTTTTCAGGGTTGGACATCTGCGGTCGTATCCAGCTGCGCTCAGCGAAGCAATTTGTTTTACCTTTTTTTAGATTTTATATGTGGCTCCACTCCTTGCCCATTGACATTTTGGTTAAAAAGTAAAGAATACTATATATATGAATATTTCAGCAAATTATGGTGGCACCTCTATAAATTTTTGAGAATACTGCCATAAATTTTGCCAAATTATGCAAAAAATATGGTTTTAACAAAATCCACCTACACTTATGATGTCACCGATACATCAACTAGCGAAAATCTTTGTTTAAATGAAGAAATAAAACATTTTAATGTATGTTTTCATAACAATATCACATGTATAAAATGTTCTTTTTTTTAAAGAAAAGCTGTACGATCTATATTATAAACTTTTATTGATTATTAGATGCAAGAAGAACAACTGGAGGAATATTCGTTGTAATGTTTGTGACTTATGTTGACTGAAATGACTTTGTTTGAAATAAAGTTTTGTACCAAAAAATGTTATTACTTGTTTGAACCCAGTATTGCATGCAAATTAATCATTAACCAATATTACTTCATATTTGCCAACACTTTAATGGCAAATATTCTACAGCTGTGGGGCCTTTTTCCCTGTTTGTTGATTTACTTCAGACACACTAGAAATAAACATGTAATATTTTTTCATTAGCCTCTATTTGTCCTTGTTCAAGGTCCATAAACAAACAAACACGTGTCATAGCTGATTGATATTTTCTTCAGTACACACCTCTGGATGAGATACGAATGTCTCTGCAGCATTGAAAATTGACAAACATTTTGCTCACCACAAATCACTAAGTTTTGTGTGTAGGGTCTATGTACACTAACAATCTTTGTGCATAGTTCTGATTGAAGGCCTTTGTCTTATTTTGTCTCACTGCGACGAAAGAGGCAGAATTCTAAACATAGTGTGGAAAACTAATTTGCTGGACTGACGGATGGAAGGACGGACAGACAGACAGACAGACAGACTGAGTGCAAACCTAAAGTCCCCTTCGACTTCGTCTTCGTCAGTATAGGGGACTAATAAGGTTGAGGTCTGATGAGCCCTGCCAGACCAGCATGTATACCTCAAAATCATTAGATACACTAATTTAGATAACTTTATGCTTTTAGTATCTATGAAACGGACCCAACAATGAAAACTTAACACAACAAATGAAAAAAGAAGACGAGGTGAATGTCAGTTAAACCCTGGCATACGAACATGTACACTTCACAAACATTCCATACAGCAAATAAAGTTGACCTACTAATTCAAATATCTGAGAAGAGGACCTAATCCTCATCTGGAAAAGTTATAGCATTGACAAATGGACCATGAGAATGAGTTACAGGTAAATTGAACCCTATCAGATGGACATATCATGCAATGTCATGCGTTTCTTAGACTGTTTATGACGTCTTTACAATAAATCTGTTGGATGTTTAATGATTGATTCCTTAGTCTGGGAGAACATGATTTATTTATTAGTTGTAATTGGGTCTGACCTAGCTTTCAGTAAATGCACGTACTCTTACTTTGGTGTTTTGTGTCTTATGTTTTAATGTTAGTTATATTGTGCCTTGTGTCTATCCTTAGAGTTAGGCCAAGTGCAACTGATTTTTAGTTTGTTCTTCTGTTGTGCTATGTCAAGCCAAGTTAGGGGAGGGTTCAGTGCTGACAAATTTGTATAACCCCGTCACATTTTTCATGTGCCTGTACCAAGTAAGGAGACAGTAGTTCAATGGTTGTAGTTGGTTCATGTCTGTCACAATTTTTCATGTTTGGGCTTTTTATAGCCGACTATATGGTATGGTTTATTTCTAACTAATGAAGGTCGTACGGTGGCCTATAATACTTGCTTACATCTACTTTATTTGAACTCTGGTGGATAGTTGTCTCATTGGCAATCATACCGTATCTCATTATTTATATATATATCCTATTTCCCAAATGAAACAAGAATGTACATGCCCGTGGCATGCTAGAATGTCTGGCATACCTTCCTGATCATGATACAGTTTAACTACAAGTATCACATGAACTTAACATTATAAATGATTCATTTAAACAGGTGAAGGTCAGATAAACCATGCCAGTCAAACATGCTTACCTTGCAATCATTCCATACACCAAACATAATGAACATAGTTGATCATAGTAATTGCGAAACTGACTTAACCTCATAAAATTAACCTCGACTAATCAACAAGGAAAATGAGGTCAAGGTTAGATAAACACTACCAGATGGACATGCACACCTTACAATCAATCCATATACATCAAAAATAGTTGACCAGTTGCTATGGTATCTGAGAAACCGATCTTATTTCCAAAAAAGCTTCAAATTGATAAATGAAATGAACTATGGAAATCAGATCAAAGTCAGTAGAACCCTGTCAGTTGGACATGCCCT